GGCCAGTCGTGCACGCAGTTCCTCCATGTTGTTGGAGTGGTCGAAGTCGTTCAAATAGGTTGACAGCTGCTTTAAATGAGCCTCACTGGGGTTGGAGTGACAAATGATCAATAAGCTCTGTAGATATACGACAGCTGCATTCGGATTGTCCTGACCTACACCGGCGAAACGCATTCGATCCAGCATCTGGACTGCTGCCGAAGGCCTTCCTGCCAAAATACTTGCCTTTGCATGCGCAACAAAACACACGACGTTGGGTGTGATCCGGAAGTCTTCCATTTGGCTCCAAAGCTCATCTGCTCTTCTCCAATTCTCGTTTGTTCCTGCCGAATTGATCAAGCCGCCGAAGGTTACGACACTGGGCGCTTCAATCACGACACCGGTCGTTTTTGCTTGCATCAACCACTCATCCACTTCTTCCTGCCGACCGAATTCCTCATAGAGCGAGAGCAAGGGTGTGTAGGCGACGCAATCCATGCGGAAGGGGAACGCCTTGGACCAGTCGAGGATCTTCAAGGCCAAGGGCAACGCTTCCTCGCCAACAGCAGCACAAAGACTCCAAGCACTTCCCAGAAGCATGTTGTACTCCTCTCTACTCAACTCACTGGAGGTGCCAAGCTGCGACCCGAGACCCTCCCAAAGCTCTGTGCCCAACGCCAGGCCCTGCTTCTTCCTTTGCGCCAGCGTTTCAGCCGCCCCCTTCCCGCCGGAGCGATCCTTTAGGCACGAGGCCAGGGCGGCAAAGAAGATGCGTCGTTGTAAGAAGGCCATGTCTTCGTCGATGAGTCGTTGTCGAGCGTGAACCTCCAGCAAAGCGTCCCACCAGCGCCCAAGGCCACATCGCTGCATCGCGGCGCCAAACACACTGGAGTCCACTTCCGAGGCCAAGATAGCCTTCTCCAACGTGTGCAGCAATTCATCTGCTGTTTGGCTCTGTTTCAGTGCGAACCGCCAGGGGGGAGAACTTGGGATTTCGCTCCTGCCGCTGACTGGCCGCTCTGGTGGGTGCTATCAGGAAGAATCGGCCACCCTCGGGCGCCGCGGAAGGTCGCCCCGGGGGCGGAAGCTTTCCACGTCCGGTGGGTCGTTTGAAGGTCTCGGCCGGGCGCGACAGCATCCGCTCACGCTTGGAGATGGGGACCTCCTCTGGCCTTGAGTGGCTGAAACCACGTAACCGGAGACGAGGTGGGAAGCAGCGAAAGACCAGGCGCTTCGAAGCATGAGAGGATTTGAGAGGTTCTGCTGCATACTGCATCTCTTTGAGCACAGGCTGCAGGAGGAACCTATACATGTGTGTTGTCAATGCCTGGTTGTGGCTGAATTAAGATCCGAAGATCAGAACCATCCAACGACCTTGATCTATCCTTGGTCCAGCAACCCTCTGCTCACGAGCAATGTGCCACTCCACCCAAAAAAAGGGCCCGGATACCACTCCCATTCGCGGATGGGTCGGTCTCCAGTACTTCTAATACCCATGTCTGCGCCACCGCCTCTGGGAGCCAGCCAACACAGCTTCTCTGCACCGGCTCAAGCTTCCTGGACGCGGATCACGAGGACCCCGAGGTGGTCCCTCTCATCCGGACCAAAAAAAAAAACTGGGTCAACAATCCTCCCACGGAATCCGAACCCAAAAGGATTGGACCCATCGTCCCACCGTGCTTGAAAAAAAATAAAGAAAGAAAGAAAGAAACCCATGCAGAAAAAAATATAAGAAGCCAAATCCTTCCCACCTTCAGAAAGATCTTTGGTCTTCGGACTTCGTCCCGCGCGAGAAAAAACCGGCTCCGAGAAACTCGATCTCGCTCGAGCTACACGAGACGAGCCGCTCGACCGTTTCGCTGCTCCAAGGGACGGCAAGAGCCAATCAGGTACCCCTTCGCCGCAGTAGCGCTCGGTGAACGCATCCTCGGGAGGGTAGAAGCGGTCGGACGACCGTGAGGACGACGGGTGTGGTGTGCCGTGAGGGGGAACAGCCAGTCGACGCGGAGGTCTGGGCCGGGTGAACATGGGCGACTGATGGATCTTCTGCATGGGCACTGAGGTTTTGGGGATATGCTTGGGTACGGCGATTTCCGACAGAAACGCCCACCTGGTGGAAGTCTACGATGGTCCAAATGCCATGGCTGTACAAGTCATCCACCAGCTGTCGAATCACCTCAGCATCGGCGCACTGAAGAGCGAACCCTTTCGCCAATGCCCGAGAGGCCTCTTTGGAAGCTCTAGCAGTGGGGCCCATTTGGACGATCTTGGTGCTTTTTCTGGATCTTCACCATGAACCACCGCATGGAAACACAAGAGGCTCAGCTTCCGAGCAGCTGAAAACAGCGAACGGCTTTGTCATGTAAAGAAAGTTCTACAATAATTACTGTAGTCTAGTAACTCTAATTGGTTGGTCTAGCCGAGCCAGCGGCCTACATCAGATTTCATTAGGAACAAGGAACTGGGATACAAACCTCTAAACACCTCGGCAACGTGAACAACCGCCGAACCCTCCAGTATGCCGCCAGATGCGCCTGCAAGTAGGTGTGATTGTACTGGCCTTCAACCGGCTCCACACCAGGCCACATGACCCCCAGCCTCACTCCGATTGTGCTCGGAATTCACGTCTAAGACAAATCACTCACCAAATCTCCAGGTGACAGATATAATGTATAATATCTAGCACGTCAAGAAGAAACGAACAAGATCTTGGCGGAAAAGGATGCAAACACCCACCCTGTGTTTCCACACCATGACACCATCTCTCGATCTGTTCGAGACCGGTCTCCCAACCAACGCGCGGTTTCTGGCGGTTCCGGACCGGATGACGTTGAAACCCCACGACTGGAGGTTGGCCATGTCCTGCTCGGGATGGACGTCGGTGCCTGATGGGCACAGCCATCTCACGCTGGTGGTCCCCGGAAAAATGGGTCTGATGGGAAAGGTATGCATTCATCATCAGTGTGACGCAAGATCTTGGAATTTTCCAGTCCAAAATGCCGGGTGTCTGACTGTCAAGTCATGACATCCGCCGCTGGGAGAGACGCCTTTTCGCTTTGGTAAGACACTTTGGCAAGACACGGCTCCGATGTTCATCCATCTGACATCAGACATCACATCACATCCCAACATCACACAAAAACTAAAAAAACACCCGCCTGTCCTCAGCATTCAAGGAACTGAATGGGTCGAAGGGTCCTGTCAAAGGGTCCACAGTATGCTTCATCCGGAGTTTTCTTAAAGGCCCAAGTTTCCTGCATGCGAGTTTCTGAGCTACCAACCTTCCAAACAACTTCTGACCTCGTTTTGCTTTGTATGAGCCTGCTGGCCCTCATGTTTTCCATCTCTTACCTCGCTCAAGCCGCGCACTAGAAGCATCTAGAAGTCAACAATCTTGGGACAAGAGAAGTTGTGTGCTACAAGAGTTGGTGTTTTTCGAGGGTTTTGAGGCTGTAGAGGGTGAGGTGTAGGCTAACACTCGTGGCTTCCTCACTGAACGGTTTTGGTGTCATTTGGCAACCATCTGAAGTATTCCCGGTGCCTTTCACAAACCACCATCCAAACACGTACGTGCAGCTGTGTTCGGTCTATTTGAGCTAGTGACCGTAAATAGGACCTTACTGGGGTACCCAACTGGGACAGTCTAGTTCGGGTTCTTCAACCTCTGTTGGTACTTGCACCGTTTTGAACATCTTGCAACCTCTGCGTTTCGCGTTTCCATGCGTTCCGTCCCAACCGTTCCTTTTGAGCGTCCCATGCGTTCGTCGTCCTGTGGATGGATGCCATGGGAAGTTCTTTTGCACCACATTGACCCCATGGAAGATCTGTACTCGCCCATCTCGAGTGCGAAAATGGTTGAGCTCGTCAACCCAGAGCGGTGCCTGGACGAGCGGTTTCTTGCATGACCCGACTGGGAAGGGAGGAGCAAAGGATAGCTGGACCACACATGAGTCCAAGGCTGGAAAAAAGAAAAACACGGATCCCTTTCAAAGACATGTCCCAAAAGGTGCCAATGGTCGGACATGTCAAATCGGGTGGGCTTTGGGTGGAACAGTTTGTTCGCTCTCCTTGTCTCTGGTAGCAACATGCATTCGAGCGGCCGAAGAGGCTGCTTGCCAAAGGGAGAAGATCACCCAAAGCTTCAGGCCCATGGCGAATCAGCAGCCTTTGCTTTCGCTTTGTGTCTCAAGTCTTAAGACCCGGACCCTTTCCACAGTCTTTAGTTGAAGTATCTGGACCTTGTAACTTGCGCTGTTCGTTGCAGTCAGCATGTACCATTGTCCATTGTCCACACGCGCTGATCACCCGACGACTTTCAGCTTCTCTGCACATGGTGTTTCCATGTTTGTTCACATGTTTCACAGCTCCAAATGGCACAAGCCCAGGCAGCTTGACGAGGCGAAAAAGGCCGGCGGCCAAAAGGCAGGCGGCCACAGGTGGCCACAGCTCGAGTTGAGAAGACTCAGTTGGGTCTACGATCTGGGTGTCTCTTTTAAGGAGATGCCGGTCCCCTTTCTCGCCAACCCTGGGTGTCGACGGGTGCGGAATGACCGCGAACCGAACCGAACCTTCCAGGGGAGTCGTTGCTGAACCGAACGCCAACGGGAAGATTCGGGAGCTGAACCAAACGCAAACGGGCTTTGGAGTTTCGAGGATCGAAAGCAAGAGGCGACCGCATCACATGGCCATGGTGCATCTCCAAGAGTTGGGCAAGTTGGACGGATTGAGAGGCTGAAGAACCAACGGAGTCCGAGAGTGTTTGAACAATCTTCGACATGACTGGCCCGGCCAGGATGCCGGGATGCCGGGATGTTCACTCTTTATTCCAGATTCAGTCTCTCATCTTTCAACCTCCAAAGAATGCTTGGCCAATCAAATCCATCAGCTCCGCTGAAAAACCCTCGAACTATGGGCGAAGCAGGTTCCAACCCAATCGACCTCTGACCCGACGTCCGTTTCGTCTCGCTTCGTCCGCTTCACACCGCGGCAGAATCGTTCGTTGGACCACGGGACCCACCGTCCTTGGCCCAACGCGCAGAAGACCCAAAGATCCCCGGCCTCGGGATCTCAAGAGATGCATCACAACACAACACACAGCGACGTAGTGATGCGACGAAGTACGACGATCTCGTTTTCGCAGGCATCGTTTTCGCTCGCAGTACGACGATCACAGGTGGGTCCTAGAACATCCAGGTCTTTTGACATGCCTTTCTTGCCTCCCTTCTTGATCTTCTTCCCCTTGGGTTCTATCTGAAAAACCTCGCAACACCACGCTCTTTTCCTCCCCACACACCCTCGCAAACTCTGCTCCGCGCCCTGTCCGCGCCCGAAATCTCTTCGCCCACGTCCCCACGCGACAGCTGCAACGGGCACGCGACCGCCGGCGCCCGGCTGCCCGGACTGCGTGATGGTCTGGTTGGCTCCCGTGTCTCGCAGCTCTGCAGGGCGGTCGGCGGTCAGCAGCAGCAAGGGGATCTGTCAGTCGGACCCGCCGCGGTGCGGCCGGCGCACAGGTCTTAAACCCCGGTCGTCGTCGGTGACTTCGACCGGGGAAGAAGAAAAACCGGTCGGCTGGAAATGAAAAGACCGGTCAAGATCTTTTCGAAATGGTGTGAGATATTGTGAGATTATTCTCACATCCCCTTCTGGCTATAGAGTCTAACATGTGTTGTCTGTGTACATCACATCGGCCCCCCCCTTCTAAACACCTGGCAAGATTCTTCATTGTTGGCCCGTCAACCCTTTTCACAGGCACAGCTAGCCCAGAGCTGCCCATGTTTGGAGGCGTTTCCAGAGTGAATGACCTCAACGGAGCTAACATGGGCATCAGTGGCATCCCGTAGCCACCTGAGCCTGAGCTGCTTCGACTGCCGCAGGCAGCAGGTTTGCAACGGCTGTACCAGACCTGCGATGCAACATGTTCCGAAGCAGATCGAATTTTGTGCGATTTCGCCGCACATCTGTGATGGATATGATAGGGTGATATGATCTGTGTGTTCAAGTCAGACATGGATAGAAATGGTTCTTTGGAAGACTCTGCAGGAACGCCTCAGACACGAACGCCTTTCTCGCAGACCGGCCGGTTCCGGACCCACGACGAGGTGCTGAGTTTCCCCCACGTGACGATCACTGCCTTGGTCGTGCGGTCGCAGACGTGACCGGCGTGACCGGTGGTAGACACAGGTGACCCAGGGAGACGATCATCGAACGGTTCCGGTGACCCAGTCGAAGCATGGGTCACGTGACCTGTGGTGAGGCATTATATATATATATTATAGCTGCTATAGCTGTCTTCTCCAACCAAAGATTCTGGGAAGCTCTCCTTGCAATGAAGCAGCATAAAACATCATAAAGCAACGTGCAAGAAATGCAAGAGGCTCCAAAGCTGTCTCGATATGTGGGTCTGGGTCAATGCCAAACTGCCAAAAAAGGGACCCTTGATGACCCTTGTAGGTTCCTGTCCCTGGCATGATCTCCAGTCTTCCCCATTTCCGCCATTTCCGACCCCCTCACCATTGAGGCACAGAAAGGATGCGGTCCTGGCCGCCCTTTCTTCCGGCCCATGGACCAACGGTAGCCGCTGCTACCGTTGGTCCGCCGCTGGTGGTTGGTTCGCTTGGTGCTTCGCCCGGCAGCCGGTGAAGAGGAAGATGAATAGGACGTCCTTTCCCATACAAACCCTCCCTTCTCAGTGTTGGATCCCCAAGAATCCAACGACGATCGTCTGGTTCGAGGCTCCCCACCACGGGTTGACCAATGGCCTTCGCCCATCCAAGGGCATAGAAGCCACCCGAACGCTCGTCGTGGTTCACCACATGCCTATCGTCCAGTGCTACGAGGCCAGACCAACGAGTCTGACACAGTGTGACAGTGGTCGTTTTGTGGGGTGTTGTAATTCATGCATGCGGGGGGTCGATGGAATTTGGGGATGAACCGCCTATTCGCCGGGAGAAAAAAGGAAGTTTGTTTTGCCCGTCGACGACTGCTTTAGCTTCGAATCGCAGTAGAAGGGATTCCACGGGACACACGGCACCGTGCGAAAACGACCGCTTTGAAGCAAACAATTTGAGTCTCACCGTGCTCTTGGGCCGCAGAGCGGTCGACCAGCTTCATACGTCCAGAGCGGTCGGCCCAGTGGAACGAATCGAAGCATTCTGCGCTTCGGCTTGATGCATCCTTCAGATGCTTCGCCACCTCCACCCCCCTGGTGAAAGGAGAACTGAAAGGACCACGTCCGCTGCTATAGTGCAGAACGCATCAAAACACCCAGGCCCGGCCACCCAAAGAAGTCGTCTTGCAGTCTTCCAGTCTTCAGGTCTCCAACTCTCCATCAATGGGATCTCTTCATCCTTGGCCACCCGCGGTGTCGCGCCCCAGTCTTCCACTCACGCCGCCTGGTCTGTCCGTGTCGCGCCATGGCGACCACCAGCGGAGTGGAGCGAGAGCCAGGACCTGAGGTGGGGACGTGGGCGCAGCCAGGTGAGGCTGGTGGTGCATGAAGTGGCACCAGGCTGCGAAAAGCCGGAAGAAAGGGAAAAATGGGGAAGGATGGGTGCAAATGGCACCAAAATGGCCTCCAAAATGGCCTGTGGTTTGTCTGGTGAGTACGACAATCATCCAAGCCTTCCCATCTTCCCATCGGTCATAGAAGCCCACACATCGCGAGAAATCAATTTGTCATGGTCATCTACAAGAAGCACATCGTTCATCAAGTTTTCACCACTATGTTTGGCAGAGGCAGGTCCTAAAAAACACGAGGCTCCCCCACACAGCCACTCCGAAAAGCTCCCAAAAAAACGGTGCCAAACAAATCCCTTCAGAGCTCCCAAGAGATTGGAAGGGCTCAAAGAGTCCCAGATCCATCCCAATGAATTACCGATTCCAGATCCCCACTCCGGCCGCCATGGCACCCCATCCCCCATTCCCCGCAAACCTCCGAGCTTCCCGACAAATCACGAAGTTGCACACGTTGCACCGGACCAACTCCTCCACCTCACGCCACTTTCAACGTGAGCTTTCCTGGAAGATTCGGGAAATAGACCAGTCTACCCAGCCAGGGCCGGGGGGTATCCCTATTAAAATACACTTACTTTAGCCATTTCACTACCACAAATTTGTACTCATCTATTCTATTTTCATATACAGTGTATATATATATATATATAAGTCTCATGCATGTCTCATGCATGTCTCATGCTGCGTCATCAACGACCCGCCCCGCCCCGCCGGACCGTCCGGAGACTCCGGGGCGCCGCACGATCACCGTGGCCCAAAGCGTGTTGAGGTTCCTTGGGGGGCCATTTGGGCCCGAAGCGAACGCAAGAGACATGTGCTAAGAGACATGTGCTGGGTGGCTGATCATTTTGATCTGTGAATTGCCTGAAGCTGTTGAAGCTCCGAAGCTCCGAAGCGTGGCGTTTTGGGAGCACAAAAGAGACCCAACACCTTGAGAACTCCTCCAAATGTATCACTTTAGACCACGCTTCGAGTTGAGAAGCCGATTTGATTTCGTCCCGTCCAGGAGGACGGTTCTGTCAGGTGGCCACCAAACAGCTTTTCAGGGGACCGATTTCGGTGGACTAAATGTTCTATAGTGGATGGCAGAGAGTAGATGGCGATATGGACCCCTACATCAAAAACATCGGGTCTGTGCCAGCTACTCTGAAACCACTATAAATGCTGAACAATAATCCATGCAATTTCACCGACAAGCAACCACTCGTTGACATTGGGTTGATGGTCTTCTGAGTTCGCATTGGTTGGTTGGTTGGTTGGTTGGTTGGTTGATTGGTTGGTTGGTTGGTTGGTTGGTTGGTTGGTTGGTTGGTTGGTTGGTTGGTTGCATGCCTTCTTGCGCTTGTTTGCTGTACTTGCGTAGTTGTTTTCGTGACTTGCAAGGTATCGTTGCTTCATCTTGGCTCCACATCGGACGGAACCGTGTGAGACGGGAACCCGTGGGTCGTCGGCCGTGGAATTTGGCCGAGGAACGGCAGCTGCGCGAGCTCCGGCACGCTGCGGGGGGTGGCATCTGCGAAGGCCTGGTGAAAACGATCGTTCGACATGTTCGAAAGAAAACCGACGTGTTTAAGCGGTTCATTCAGGTTCATTCCACGGGGTTCCCGTGGTGAGTCAAAGGGATTCGGGATTCCGGGCCCCCGAGATGCGGCGTTGGGACTCCGAAAGACACCGGGGAACCAATGGGTTTCACTGCGCAACATGGAATACTTGGGTGTTCAGAGGGATGAAACAGGTGAAAGTCCCCCCCAAAACCTTCTAAGAAGTCATGGCATGCAGCACTTCACCTCATACATGGCAGCCGCACTTCTCACTTCTCGGCCTCAGTCGTCTTTGTGCGCGTCCGTCGCGGAGCGTCACGCGGCCGGGGGCCTCGGTGAATTGTCTCATCTTCAGACCTCGGCGCCGGAGCCCCGCGGGGAGGGGGAGACGGTCGTCGCGCCCGGGCGGCCGGCGGGAGAGTGGGTCAGCGATGAAAAGCACCGGTCACCGGTGCTTTTTCGGGCGACTTCGTACAGGAGTCACGTGTGGATGTGGGCATCCCAACGTTCCGAAAGCGAACCAGCACCCGCTCTGTGACTCCTGGTGTATAGCTCAAATGGAGGCCGGAATGGCTTGATGATTTCCAAGTCCCATCCAAAAAAGGTTGAAAATTCACACCTGACCCTTGTGAACATACCGCCATCATCATCCGCCATCTCCTTTACTCTTCTAGAAAGCAAGGAGTCAAGGCCTGCACGGTATAGACGTCGGTACCCAAGCTCGCGTCCAGCTGGACGCTCCTGGTACGCACGCAGCGCGAGTCCAACTTGTCTCCCAAGGAGCTAATCTCTTCAAACTCCTCCGAGGGATCAGAGCCTTCCACCACCCCTGCGCCAGCATAGACCTCGAGGTCCCAGTCGAACTCGAACCCGAACCCGAAACCGGTGCGACTTCCGTTCGGGCACAAAGAGAGGTGAGGTCGGGTCGTAGGACGACGGGAGGAGAGGCCGAAACTGGGGAAAGGGGGGGATTCAACCCGCCTCGAGTTCGGCTTTGATCCACAAAAGGGACCAAAGCGGAAGCTTGAATCTGCTTGTCCAAAATGGGGCAGGAAGAAGTGTGCCCAGCGTTTTTGGTGGCTTATTTTTGTTTTTGCTTCGGCTCTTGCTTAAGGCACGCTGGACCGATAGCAAAAGAATGATGGTTGGATTGTGCCTGGGTTTCGTGACAACCTGAGATCCCACAGCAAAGGGTTCTATGGGACCATCATCTATCTCTCCTTTCAGGCACCTTCCATGTGCTAAACTAAACGATTGCTGATGAAGATCCCCTTGATCGGGTACCTGGCACCATCTCTTCCAGAAAGAATAAAAAAACAAGTTGTCCATGGGGAAAAAAACACATGAATTGTAAAAAGAAAATAGCAATAAATAATATATAACAAGAATATTAACAAAAATAAAAATTAGCCCAGCTGGAGACCCCAATAGCAAGATACAAACCGGGACAAAAGAAAAATCTGGAAACAGCTGCTGTTTTCAACACATCGACCATCTCTTCCTTGGACACCATCATCACATAACCGGGACACCATCACAAAATGAGGGCACCATCAAAACATGACCGAGACACCGTCACAACATGATTGGGACACCATCACAACATAACCGGGACACCATCACAAGGTGACCGGGACACCGTCACATGACCCGGACACCATCAAAACATAACCGGCACACCGCCAAAACATGACCAGGACACCATCACAACATGACCGGGACACCATCACAACATGACTGGGACACAATCAAAACATGATCGGGACACCATCACAACATGACCGCGCCACCATCGAATCACATGATCGGGACACCATCAACACATGACCGGGACACCGTCACAACACGACCGGGACACCATCAAAACATGACCGGGACACCATCACAACATGACCGGGACACCATCACATGACCGGGACACCATCAAAACATGACCAGGACACCATCACAACATGACCGGGACACCATCAAAACATGACCGGGA